CCCCAAAACCCCAAAACCCCAAAACCCCTTTAAGATATTTTAATTTATTCAGAGATTAGCGCAAATTAGTCTTTCTTCCTCATTCAAAATTTTACGTATTCACCCCATTTACCATTTAGCAGCTTGTCCAATTCAGTCTGGAAGTAATCAGAAATTGATATCTATAGTTGAAGTTTGGAATAAATACCTGACTCATTTCGAAAGATGAATCGAGGTTGAGCAAATTTGAAGGATTAGTGGGATCAAGTTTGTTCTTATCCTCTCTGATAAGCTCTAAACATTTAATTTTAACAACATTTACCAAGATATGTTCCTTCTACATCCATCTCGTTATCGGCTTCGCTTGAATCAGAATAGGAGTCTTCAAGGCTTATATCTAAACCTAGATCCACCTATGGATTAATCAATAAGACACACCTTAGGGTCATAAGCTTCATAATACTTTGTCTTAGCAGTAAGTATCTTATCAATTGCGTTTTCCTTTTTCTCGATTTCTTCTAAGATATCTTTGAGAACTTCAGGAAGCTTATTATGCTCGTTCTTAAGAAACGCTTTTCCTTCCTCATGAGCAAGGTACTTCATGTAATGCGTCATTCAGTAGATATATCTATAAATTAAGAGTTCTAATACAGGTCTTTCTCTTGAATCAGTCTCATTTCTTGCTTGACTTCCTTGAGAATCTCGTTAAGATCCCTTCCCATAGCTGAGATCCACTTTTTAGTAGTTCCAGCGTCAATGCAGAGAAGACTGATTATGGCAAAATAGCAGCATCTTTTTAAGGATTTGGTCATATTTTTGGTATAGCATAGTCTTTTCAAAGTCATTGAGACCACTTTCTCCACTAAATATATCCGACATTTTATAATCCGGTTGTCAGTTTTGTTCTTCTCCTCAAAGAATGTAGGAAAGAGTCTCTTAGGAGACAGTTTTGGAACATCATCAATGGAGTCTGAACAAGAGTCAGATGAGCAAACTAAGAGCTTTGGATGATATTCAACAACTTATCATTCACCTGTGGAGCTAAATGGGAAGTCTGAGTCACGCTGTTATCGATCATATTGCTGGCATTTAGACTAAAGATGGGCTCAGCTTTAGATTTTGGCTTATCAGAATAATTATCTTCTTCATCTTTACTCTTAGCTTCCTCTTTAATTAAATTCTTAGCTATGATATTTGCGAAGCAAGTGCTTCCAGAGTAGTAGGGATCTAAAGATAGTCGCTTATCTTCAGCTCCTCTCGATTTAGCCAGACCTCTTGGTCCTTCCTTTTCATGTTGGGATGCTTGATCATTTTCCTTAAAAGAATCCGTTTGGAGGAGCCTCAAATATGTCTCATAAATATCCTCTTGCTGCTTAGGGGTCGGAGGATTATCCGCAACAAAAGTTATTTTGCTCTTTGGAATCACTAGATTAGATATCTCCTTTGTCATTTCTTCGCCAACTTCATCAATAATTAAGTATTTCTTGAGATATAGAATAGATTTTTGGAGAAAGATTCAGCCAAAAATATTCTCAACATGGTAGTCATTGAAATTACAGAAGATATTTATCTTAGCTATTTCAAGAAGGTAGTCAATGTTATCAATGTCTCTCCAGAAGTCATTCCCACCTCCCTTGATGATCTCAATGAGGGTTTCATAAATCTCTGGAGTGAGGATCTCCTCTAAAGTATGATTAGCATAGCTTACTTTTATTTAATCAAAATTTTAAATGATCCTTTTATTTTGTCAGTGAAGACATTGCCTTTTCTAAAAATTCAGCTAAATCATACTGCTTATAAACCTCTGGTTCAAGAATAAAGATCTGGCTACCTCTGTTATAGTCTAGAAGAGGTTGAATCAAGGGATCAATCATTTTGACAATAGAGTCATCACAAACTTTGAGAATATTATTGATCAACTTCCAAAGCTGGCTTATGATATGAGCTTCTTTCTTCTCTAAAATCTCCTTTCCTTTGATAATTACCTTTGGGATCTAAAAATTAGTCAAGATTTAACCAAGTTGTTCTGATCTAGGATCTTAATCTGCTGCTGAATCTTGGTAACACAGTTCTTGACCAAACTGACCATCTGCTCTTGTGTAATGGAATCGAATGAAGAAATTACAAAAATGAGATTAAAGAACTCTTCAATGGTAACATCCTTTACCGCCTTAATTAGAATGTCGATTACATTAAAAGGATTTTTCTTGACATAAAAAGCTATAGTATTGTCATTCACTATGGATTGCAGTGCATCTATTGCCTGATGCGCTAGCGCATCAGGCAATGTGCATCATTCGCAAAGAAATTTCAAGATCTCCTCGAATTTTAGCAATTTGTGATCCTTATTTTGGATGCAAAGATGCAAAAGATTTCAAAGATACCTTGGTCTTAAGAAATATGTCTGAGTAGTATCCCATTAGTAGAACAAATCGACATTTGATCAATTTTGAGCCATTAGAGATAATTATTGGTCCAAGCTGATGGATTCTTTTCATTAGGGTTGATTTCCAATTTTCTCTATTTTACTATTAGATAACTGAGAGATGACAAGATTATCAGACTAACATCAAGAAGTTCCTCGGTTGAAGAATGCATGATAAAGTTTGAATTACAATAATTTCTGATAAACTTGGATTTAGCTATTGATGCCTGGCCCATATATTTCAAAGCATTAGGGTTGATATCGAAGCTTGCTGGATTTGCTGATATTCTATCGATATATTCCCCTATCAGCTCAAGTGAAAATTTGATAACAAAATTACGATGCTTAGACCTGAGCTCACAAGAATATTCAATCAGCTTCATGCTTTGGGATTTTAGTGTCACTTCTTTCTGGTCATTGCAAGCATCCTGAATGGTCTCAAAGAATTTCCTTGGCTCTTTATCTATTAGTACAAGCTCGAATAAGTATGATTTTAGGAATATGAATCAAATATCTACAAGAATTCTATCATGAATATCAGTGAAATAAAGCTGGAAAATCTGGAACTTAATCATCTTGTTGACTAAAGTTATTCATAAACTTACGAAGCATCAAAGAGTAGGCAATGCATTCCTCTAGATTTATCAGACCACCATCTTACTTGAGTTTAGTAGCAGGTTAAAAGAGTTGACATCCATGAGAGATTTGGCTTCCTTTACCCCAAATTTAGAATCTCTGGTTAGGCTAATCAGATTATTTATGATATTGGGAAACACATTCATGAGCTTATAGTTTATCTTATTAATCCGTGCTTGGGAGTTCTTGATCTTATTATACACATCATGATTTCACTTGGCCCTGACTGTCTTCCCAAACTCTTTCTCTATCTTAGAGTCGAGCTTATCCAACGGAATGTAGTCTAGCAGAATATTCAGGACTTTTCAAGAAGAGATTTTTATATCAAACAACAACTTATCCATCCTCAGAATTGTACTGATGAAGATCAGTTTCGGTTTCGGAAATCCAAGAAATAGCAAAGTTCAAAGAAGACCAATGAACTGGGAGTCTAGCATAGTTCAGACAATCTTGCAGTCAACTCTTTTCTTGACATCGAACATATCCATAATGGGAAATTCAGCTCAATTTGATTTCTCCATTTTCTGAATATATTCCTTGTATTCTTCTGGATCTGGTCATCACTGGGTGACTTTGACAAAAATATCTATCCATTTATCCAGAATACTGACGAATCAGAAGGAAGTTTTTAGGTTTCTCTTAAAGAAGGAATCCTGTAAAGAGTACATAGCATAGATACCAGTCTGGAGGATCACATCAAACAGGATGTCAAAGACCGCCTCTTTCTTGAGGTTGGCATTCACTGAAGAGTCTTCTATTTCAGGGTTGAAATAGACATTCATCAGAGAATTTATTAGCAAGAGAGCACCCGTTATTTTCGATTCTATCATTGCTAGATTATTCCTTTCTGATTTGTTGAACCTTGAGATATTACTCATCAAAGTCTGAGAGAATTGGGCCGAATCGTGACTCAATAATGTTATGTTATTCTCAGAAGTATATTTAACACTTTCCTGAGGCTTCTCATCTTCCTTGCTTTCAGAGTCAGATAGAAAATTTAACTCTTCATCTTCAATATTTTTAGAAGTAATAGACTTCTTCAATTCAGCCTTTTTGTGTGGAATGAGATGTTGGGGAGTAAAATTAGTCTTTGTTTTATTATCAATAAGATATTCACTTTGAGAACCTCCAAAGTTTTCAGTACTCTCTTTTGATTCTTCCCGGAATGCGGACATTTCTTCTCGAAAGGCGGAATCGTCTCAATTGACACCTGTATATTTGATAACTTCGAGAGATGTTATGATCACATTCATGATCATCTTCAATTCATTTGTATCTTCTACTGCATTACTTCTAAAGTATAAGGTATAAAATCTTGCCAAATCGAAGGGTAATTGCTTGCAATAATCTCGAAAGTTTTTGCAAGAATAATTTTAATCTCAATCACAACATTCTGACTGAAAATGCAATTTTTGATCATCTCGATGGTAAAAATAATTTTCTCCCGACATTGTCTCTGCAGTGCTTCTTCGTCATCCACTTTTTCAGGGTTAGAGATGTAATTTTCCTGAGATATTAGGAATTAAATACCTCTAAACGTTTTTCAAGGAGCCTATTTTTAGATGATTTTCTCTTCTATACAATAATTCATACCAATACCTGATAAAAGATGTCATATACTTCATCTTTGATAAACTTAGCAGATTTGAGTTTGACCTGATTTGTAGTAATAGCAGGGCTAAATTTTAAAATCCTGAACAAATTTTCCAAAAATTGTATTTGGTTTTCCTCTCTCGCTTGTTTAATTCTCATACTTCATTTTTTCTACAAATAACAGCTCTGGTTACCTTCAAGGCGTGATCGTCTTCATGATCTTGACAAACGATTTGCATCTTAATGGCTTCTGCCAACTTCTGTGCTTCTAAATCTTTTGTGAATCTCTTTGATTTGTACATATTGGTTCAAAATTATTCAAATTTGATTATTATTAAAGGGGTTTTGGGGTTTTGGGGTTTTGGGGTTTTGGGG